TTGAATAATTTTATTTGTGATCTGTGTTTTATGCATAATTTGGATTTTTTTTAAGTGGGGAAATACACATTCTCAAATTCATACTTTAGAAAGTAGAGACCCCATCCTATGTATGCTTAGGATGGCAGCCCTAATCAAAGAAAACAATATTTCCCTAATGAATGGTAATTGGAGTTCATGAAAAGTTAAAGGAAAATTACCAGTCTGAATGCTGCATTCTCACTTGGAAATTTGCTTCTTCAGCTGTTAACATGAGGCCAAGGAGATAAACAGGATTTTTTAGTTCCCCCTCCTGGCTGTTTACAGTGTTGCTTTGACAGCCCTCGTGTATAGTCAGTTTCACTTTATATGCTTGCAGTTGCTGACTATTATTTAAATGGGACTTTTTCATAAAGAGAGGGAAACATTCAGAACTGGAATTGCCATTAAAACAAACTAAAATTGTCAACCAAAGAACTTAATTGTATTGCTATGAAAGAGTATTGATCTCAAATTCAATTTATTGGAAGATGTCTTAATTCAGAAGAAAAAAAGTATTCCTGCTTAGAAGAAGAGGAGATTGGATTTATACCCCCGCCCTTCACTGCCCAAAGGTGTCTCAGAGCGGCTTACACACTCCTTTCCCTTCCCCTCCCCACAACAGACACCCTGTGAGGTAGGTGGGGCTGAGAGAGCTCTTTCCAGAGCTGTCCTTGAGAGAACAGCTCTTGTCAGAACTACGGCTTTCCCAAGGTCATCCAGCAGGTACAAGTGGAGGAGTGGGGAATCAAACCTGGTTCTCCCAGATTAGAGTCCGCGCACTTAACCACTACACCAAGCTGACTCTCATTATCAACAAGACAAAAGACATTTATACTTCAATGAACTAATTATTTTTAAAAGTTTTAAAATCCATTAAATTGATTGTCCTCATATGCTGTTTCTATAGGTGTGGTCAGACAGGTAGGTTGCCATGGCATTCTCTCGGCTTTAAATAACTCGCTTGAGTTTGGGATCCTTTGTGTCAATCACACCGCGCCCCCTAAGATGGCATCATAGTGCCGTAGGCCTGTGGTTGGTTGTTCACATCGCTAACACACTGCAACCATGGACCCACATCTGGGTTGGTTGTTTTTTTCTCAGTCCCACTGTGTGTGCGCAGAAGCAGACGAGTGCATACATGCTCCTGGCCATGTTCTATGGAGGCGCTGAAGCTTACATCAGAAAGGGGTTAAAAAACCCCAAAGGACATGCTGGAAATGGAGTGGAATGATCACTTCTCATATGTTTCCATGGCAAGCCCGGAAACCTGCCATGAAAGCGCCTCGCTGAGGTAGGCACCAGAATTTGCTGGTGGCCATTTAATCCGCATGGGAGCTGTTTTACCACAAGGTAGGGACGATCAAGGCAGAGGAACCAGATGTGCGTGTTTGATCTTGCCCATTTGGTCCAGAGAGAAGGGGTGGTTATGTCAGGCCAAACTCCTCATGTGATCCCACCTTATATGTGAACACAAAATATAATTCTGCCATTTGCCAAGCAGTAGCTTGTATTTTTCAAGATCTGTGAACTAAAGTAGAGCTCATGGAGTGGGAATGTCATGCAACTCCCTCCTAGTGGAGTCACGGAGCCCCTGTCTCCAGTTTGTTTGTGGAAGTCAGCAGACCTTCACGAACACCAGAGTGCAAAGTGGGGATCTTGCTTTGGAAAGGGAGAATCAGTGGAAATTACCTTTCCACTTCTGACAATGGAAGTGCCGTTCCATCACTGGAACAGATTGTAGGATACAAGGCTTTGCTTAGAGATGTTACTGAATTTCACAACTCCATTTCTCTACGTGTAAATCTCCATTAATTTTTTTTTGCTTTCCTTTGTACAAACTGAAGAGACATTATTTGGAAGCCATTTTGTTTCCTCAAGCCATGTTTACACAGTTTCTATGGCTTTGTGTCAGCTACGTGTAAATGGTGTACTTCATTAAAATGTCATAACATGGTCGTAAAAAATTAATGGGGAGCATGAGCAAGGAAAATGGGTAAAATGAAAAGTCTCACAATGTCAACATATAGTAGCAAAAACATACTAAAAAGGCCATCTTTGTACATATGTACATGTAGTCCTGAAAACTTCATTAACTTCAATTTCAGAGGTCAACTTTTCTTCTTTTTATTCTTGTTTTGACTCTCTATTGTACTGGATGGAATAGTTCAGATCAGTTCATAAAGCTTTGTACTAGAGTTGCAATATTAATTGAAGTCACACCAGTTAATCGGTTAAACCTTGTGGCTTACTCAAAGGGGGGGCAATTAAAGTGGGCACTGCCTCCAGGTTTGGGAAACAAAAAGATGTTTCACTGTTTTCTGTGCCTTTTTGAAGCTCAGTGTAACTCAGAAGATTCTCCTGTTATTCCTCTGGGGTGGATATGTACATAATGTTGGTCTTCCAGTTTATTAATGGAATAATTAAAGATTATTTCTTTCAGTAAATCATTGTTTCTAAAGCCTTACTTTTGAGGGCAGCAGATAAAAATCTATTTCTTATCTAGGCTGCATCCACGCATTGTTGAATATGGTGAAATCATCATACTTTAGCGATCATTCACAAATGGATTTTTTGGTGCAGATATTACAGTCAAGTAAATAAGGATTACTATAGCGCAACTGTCGCCAACTATGTGCAGATGCAGCCTTATTTAGCAATTTTGTAATGGTTTTCTTCTTTTTAGTAATGATCTGACTGGATTGAAGGTATGCAGCCTTGGCTGCTGGATAGAGCTTATATTCAGCAACAGGAAATATATATGCAATATCCCTTTGCTGCAAATGTATAAACAGCCTTTTCACACGAAAAAAAAATAGGTTTTGCCTAAATTACTTTTCAGTGCAGATACGAAAAGTACATGGGCCAAAATACTCATCTGAATTAAAAATGTCTCATTCATTATTTATGATGCAATTAGAAAGAAGCTACATACTCATTCAAAACATACAAGAGAGGCCCAAAGTCAGTCTCCTGTGCAAGAGTGCTTTCCTGCCTATATGACCAAAATGGGGCTTGAATGTTAACATCTGATTAGAACAGAGAGCAGGTCACCATCTTGCAAGCTGACTCTTGAAGTTTGTTTATGTTATTCCCATATAGCTCCTTACTGCAGCTTAAACCATGCTGTGAAGAATGGTGGAATTGTAAATAAAACAAGGGGTACAGTCGGCAGCACAGTTTGTTATTATTGTAAGCCTGGATACAGAATGATTGGCCACAGCAATGCAACTTGTAGGCGACGCACAAATGGCATGTATGAGTGGGATTTCCCTGCCCCTCTCTGCCAAGGTAAGAGTAAAAGAAAATGCTAATTGAAAATTTTAAATAACATCATCTACAAACAGAGTTTTCAGGGGGTGAGGATATCTGAATTACCCAGGTATGTACAGTGGGCATGCTATCACATTACATTGCCTTAATCTTCTATGGCTTCCCATTTTACATGAGAACAGAAACAGTATGATATGAAAATATAATGCTCTAAGTATAGCAACTGTGAAGACACAGCTCAAGTGTACAGAGCATAACTATTGGTTGGACCTTATGAAACTTTCCTCTGATGGCAGCACGGTCCTTTGGCCAGAGGAAGCTTCCATGCTGCAAGTGCCTGCCTTGTGGCAGGTACAACTCTTATGTTTTCAGTCTTGGCTTTGTTAGCTGTTTTCACTATAACACTCACCACTGCTGAAGCATACCATTTGTACAATTTAAAAAGCAGCTTTTCTTTCTACAGCTAGCAAAACTTTGAACGCACACTGAGCATATATTCTTACTATTTAGATAGCTAATTTTTGCTTTATATACACGATCTTGTATTTTGGAGAACAGCACTGTGAGATGGATCCAGGCCCATAGCTAATGTGGGGCCCATGGGGCCCGGCCCCCTAGCATTACTTCCAGGCCCCGACAGTGTTCCCTGTAAGCTGAGTTAGGTGTGCTGGGCCCAGTGCACCAATTTCCGACAGCCAGTGCACCAATTTCCCTCTCAGCACAGGGGTAGTGGGTCCCCTCCAGTGTTCCCTCTAAACTGAGTTAGTGTGAGCTAGCTCACAGTTTTTTAGCCTCCGGCTCACAGATTTTTGTCTTCGCTCAGGAGGGAGGGCTCCAGAGCAAACTAATTTATGCAGGAGCCAAACTGCTCACCCACAATTTTAATGCCAGGAGCTCACAAAGAAGAATTTTTTCTCACAAGACTCCACAGCTTAGAGGGAACATTGGTCCCCTCCCCTCACACCTGCACTAACTGTAGAGGGGGACAACTCCTGGCTGCCCAGTGCCCACCTTCCAGCAATGTGGAGCGACCTGGGAACTGCCGTTGCCAAAAACCAAGCCACTTTCCCGCTGAAGCTGCTGCGCTCAGCCATCCTGCCGGTCCAGGTGAGGGAAGTAGCAGAGCCGGGATCAGAGTGCTCCTGACCACCAGTTGGTGAGGAGGATGGAGGTGGGGGAGGGGAGCCGGGCAAGAATGGAGGTGGGGGGAAGCCTTGGTCCGGCAACGTGGCTGGCACTGCTCTGTGGCCTCCCATTGCCAGCAGCATTGGCGAGTGGCTCACTTTCTCCTGCAGTCCAGTTTAAAATGGGCTGCAGGAGAAAGCACACCCCAGGAGCTTCTGTGATGCACGGAGCACATTGCTTCAGCAGCACAGAAGATCCTGGGCTCGCTTTCTCCTGAAGTCAGCATTGGGGGGGGGGCTTTCTCTCTTTCTGTATTTCTTTCTTTCTCTCTCTCTCTCTCTTTCTGTTGAGGTGTGTGAGAACTGAAAGAGCGGAGAGGCTGGGGAGCTGCTCCCCCCCCCCCAGTCCATGCTGCTTCCCTTGCAGCCTGACTTCCCTTTCTTTCTTTCCTTCCCTTCTTTCTGTGGTTCACTTCTCTCCCCCATCTATTTGCTTTCTTTCCACTTCTCTCCTCTCCTAAGCAGCCGCCTGGAGTGGACACTGGCAGGGGCACCCGAGATGGCAAAGTTGCAAAAGTATGGGCGATCCTCCAGGCGCCTTGCAAGGAAGTCATTGCATGGGACAAGGCACAGGATCCAAGCTGTGCACTCCACGGCTCCAAAGTACACTGGCTTGAAGTTAGCCACATCTAAACCCGCACAGTGTGTGTGTGTGTGTGTGTGGGGAATGCATGTAGCTCCATACAGACACATAATAGCTGGCCCCCGAGCAAAAAATTGGCCTTCCCAAGCAAAAAGTTGCCAGCTACAGGGCTGGATGGATCACTATTATTTATCCTGGTTGTGTTTTGTGTGTGTGCTAAGGTTAAGAAGAGCTTGTATAAGTTCAGTAGGACATTTGTAGGAAGAATAGCATTTTCTGAATCACATCTCCCAGTCTTCACTGCCTTCGGATTATGGCCACAGTATGTTATGTAACAGATGCCCCCTCCTCCCTGGGGTTTAGAGGAAACCATTTTATCCTCTAGGAAAACAAGCAAATCCCCTTTGAAACTAATTAGTACTAGGCATGCTTTGTTCATTTTCTATACTTCTTTGTGGAATTTTTCCAAGGAGGCCCTTTCATTATGTCTGAAGTACCAGTAAAACTGATTCCACTGGGTTCAGTTTGTAATTAAGCCCTGAAATTGCACTGTAAATAGTGATTGAAATCTCATTTGTCTGTGTTTTTTATTTTAGAAAATGGTGTAGTTTGTTTCTGTGTATGTTCTATAACAGTTTCAATTTTTGTAAGAACACATCTCTGACTACATCTCTGACTTGGGTTAAGCTGTTAAGGTCAGGTGGAATTTTTCATTTCCCGTCTCGTCAAGTGGCGATTCAGCTAATAACACTCTTGCTGCTGCATAAAGGACTTGACTTCCTTCCAAGAAATATTAATTTATTGTTATTACTGTTACTTTCAGCTGCTGAAACAGCAAAAAATCTACAAGCAGCCGTATGTTCAAAATAATTATATCTTTAGAAAATAGCAACGTCTACAGTTAAGGTTGCTGAAGCATTTCCATCATAATGCTTCTTTTCTAATGCCCAGTTTCTATATTCACTTGGGGAAGGGAGAGGAAGAAAGGGTGATTTCTAGGCCAGGGGTCTACCAATGGTGGAAGGTTTTGCCAACATTTTATAATTTTTATCTTTTTAAAATGGTGTGATAAAATATATAGAATTCCTTGCCGTGGCTTCTATACAGTTCCCATTCTTGGGCTGCACATTTGCAGGCCATCTGTATGAGATTACAGAGAGAGCTATTCAGAGAATACTGGTTACAGGTCAACAAACTTGACTTTATAAAATATTGAGAAGGGCACAGAGGAGAGATCATTAGTATTTATTAAAAGAGGGCCAGACTCTCGAGTCATAATGTCCTAGAATATTTCAGTACCATATTATTTCTTTCTTATTAAACTTTGTTACTTTATTTTAACTGCAACAATAGGATAAATGTTGGGGTGTGCATTCAGTATATCCAAGCTGAAAAAAAATAGCTGGAAAATGTATTTTTGGTACCAGTTTGGTATAGTGATTAAGAGCAGCAAACTCTAATCTGGAGAACCGGGTTTGATTCCCCACTCCTCCACATGCAGCTGCTGTGTAACCTTGGGTCAGTCACAGATCTCTCAGACATGTTCTCTCAAGAGCAGTTCTCTCAGAGCTCTCTCAGCCCCACCTACCTCACAGAGTGTCTGTTGTGGGGAGAGGAAGGGAAGGAGATTGTAAACCACTCTGAGTGAAGGGCGGGGTATAAATCCAATCTCCTCCTCTTCCTCCTTCATATTTTTCAGCTTTTTTTTCAGCTGAGTCCCAAATATTCCAAAAATGTTTGGGATATTCTGGGACCACCAGATAACTGAAGTTAAATGGTGTTTAAAGGGATTGCAGTCCCTTTAAACACCTTCTGGGTGATCTCATGGCTTGGAGAAGATGTTTAAAGGGATTGCAAGCCCTTTAAACATCTTCAGAGTTCACTCACATGTTGTGTGAGTTGCAAGACATTTAAAGGGACCACATTCTTTTTAAATGCCTTTCCCCCTTCCATTTAAATCAATGGAGGATGGGGCACCTTCTTTGAGGGCCCATAGATTTGGACTCCCTGTCCCAATCTTTCTGAAACCTGGGTGGGTTTTTTGTGTGTGGGTTTTATGTTTTTTTTAGGAGAGGCACCAGCAGCTATGCTGAAAATTTGGTGCCTGTACCACAAAAAAACAGACCCCCTCACATGCCATTAACTGGGTGCTGGGTCTGTTCCTTTCGTCTGACAACTGCCAGCCTGGCCACTATTCCCTGACAGAATAAACTGCCAAAACAGCTGTCTCTCCTGATGAGTAGGCTTCACCTCCTCCTGCTACTAGGCTCACTTTCACTTCAGTGGCTGTTGCTGAGCAACTAAGCTTGGTTCTGTCAGTAAAAGGTATGGGGAGGAGGCCCTTCCCAGGCTTATTTTGGCCTTTGAGAGAAAACTCATTGGGGCCTGTCCTGACTAGAGTTGCCAGCTCCAGGTTGGGAAATTCCTGGAGATTTTGTGGTGGAGTCTACAGAAGCCAGTGTTTGGGAAGGGAGAGGCCTCAGCTGAATAGAATGCCATAGAGCCCACCCTCCAAAGCAGTTATTTTCTCCAGGGGGGGAGAGATCTGTTGTCTGGAGTTCAGTTGTGATACCAGGTGATCTTCAAGCTACACCGGAAGGTTGGCTACCTGAAGCCTGGCAGCACCCTTTGGGTGACTTGATGACACATGACTGGCATGACAACTAGGCCTGGCTACTTGCTCCTGTTCACCTCCAGCAGCCCCTCTATTTTTTAAAATATTTAAATTAAATATTTAGAAGAAGAAGAAGAGATTAGATTTATACCCC